TGCCATGGGCTACCGTATGTAGCCAGCAGCCAGCGTGAGTGGCCAGCAGCCACAGTGAGTGGCTGTCCAGAAGCCGGTGACTGATCTGCCTTGCCCAAGAGGAGCGCAATGAAGGTGCCAAATTGGGCCAGAGAAGCAACGTCCTTCACAACTAGACTGAAGAACAAAACGACAGCAACTTGTCTGTTCCCATCCCCCAATTCCCCAATAAAAATCTTTAAAACAAAAAATACCCAAAAAACAACAACTTTACATTAGAAAATTAAGCAAGTGAAATTAATTTTAATAATTTATTTAACCCAATATATCCAAAATAACTTATGTTTAATGAGAAAAGATTTACATTGCTTCTCAATTTTGAAATTGAAGTTAATTAAAACAGGCATTAACAAAGATATTCATTCGTAGCATGGTTTGTCATGGCAAAAGATTGGAAACTGCCCAATGTCCATTAATGGAAGTTTGGATAAATAAATAATAGTTCGGTCACACAGTGGAAACCATGCAACTGGCAACTGTTGGAAAATGAGACAGTTATATGTATTAATATGAGTTAATCATAGAAAAAGATGCAGAACAGTGTATAAAGCATACTACCCTTTGTATAAGAAAAAATATTTTCTACATATATGCTTGTGTATGTACAGAAAACTGTTTAAAGACACAACCAGGGTTATCTTTGTGAAGGGGAAACAGGTGATCAGGTGTGAAAAGGTGACTTTCTTGTCATTCTATGCTCCTTAATATGTTTTGGATATTTTTACCATGTCCATTTTTAAAAGTTGTTTAATTAAATGGAGAGTGATAGTTAAGTCATAGGATCATTGTAACAATTGTTATTTTTATTTATTTATTTATTTATTTATTTCTTAAGCTGAGCCATCCTGCCACCTGTTGGCAGCTCAGGGGCTGCTCAGCTTGGGCCGCGCATCGAACTGCTGTTGCTCAGGGCTCAAACTCTTGAGCGAGCTCTTAACCAACTGAGCCACTCAGCCGGCCCCATTGTAACAATTGAATGAAACGTGTAAAATGCCTGCCTACCACTTTATAGCCTAATCAGTTCTGGATGCTATCATTATTCCCAAGTAACTCTGATAACGTATGTTTGTCAGCCAGGAAAATCGTTTCTTTCCATAAAGATAGTTGTGCATTTCAGCCCCAGCCCTAGGTATGAAGCCTCCTGTAAAGCCAGAGTAGCATTCCGAGGCCCTGGGACAGACTTCGTTCGGCTCCTTATCATTAAAGTCATTCAAAAAAGTGTAAGTAAGGCAAGATTGCTCTCCGGCTTTACAGCCCCTCTGACTTTACAGTCAACTAATTAGGCCCTTCTGATTCCGTCTATGCTTTCTGCACCCCTATCCCTAAACGTGAGAGCCACCTGCAAAGCTGTAGGATCCACGCAGGGCCCTACCTCAAAGTATGGAGCACATACCACCCTCCTTGTTATATGTACTTACAGCATTTTGTTCTTTTCCTTCTTGAAACTGAATCACTAGCATAATTTGTTTTAATTTGTTTTAAGTTTGAGAAAATTAAAAGTTGCAGAAAGGTTCAGAGAATTTCCCATTATAATCTATTTTATGACTATTCTTCGATGTCTGCCTTCCCTGCTGAACTGTAAGCTCTTTGGGGCAAGAACTGTATGCCCTCACACTCCTATAACAGAGCACACGGAGCCAGTGAGTGACCCAAAAGGAGCCCAGGGACCCAATAGTGTTATGGAGTGCAGTGCCCCCTAGAGCTAATTCTCTTACCAAGGCAGGGCTTATGGGATGTTGGCCTTCCATCCTACCACAACTGACACAGTATGTTGGAGTGTACTGACTGCAACTAAGAAAAAGAATGTAGTGCCAGTGTCAATGCCCAGTCACAGACATAGTAGGACATACCATATCACAACCTCAAGTACTGACCCTGCTTAAGTAGGCCGGAAGGCTTGATTTCTCCCATTAGACCATCTTTGTGTTACCAAGTTATTAAAAAGTCAAGACCATTGGGGTTAAATCACCTGGAGCTCACTCTGGACTTGCTTTTAAGGACAGGTAATGGGATTAGGGAATCAAATGGGGGGATGTTAGGGAGAGGTTTCCTCTGAGGGTAACCCGAGAAAGCTGATCCATACATGAGATGCGAGTGGCAAAAAGAATAAACAGGTTTGGGGTTTGAAGGCCTTTGACACTAACCCCCAAGGACTGTACCCCCAAAGGGTCCCCACTACCTGCTTTTTGTAGGGCTGGTCAAGAAAAGTTGGACCCAGAAGAGATAATAGGAACAATGGAAACTGATGGCAGTGACTGCAAATTTGTTGGTAATGATGACTCAGCGGTTCTGGGGCCTATGGGGTACATCTGAGCTGTGGGGCCTGGCCTACAAGGCCATTAGCTAATGTGCAAGATATGAAGTAGATCCCACTTGCTCCTGAAAGGTGGTCCAAAGAAGCAGCAAGTGCAAGGTTACAGAACAGAATGGAAAAAGATACAGCAAGAGGGCAACATGCCATCTTGGGGAAAGTGGAAAGGGACAGAGGGGACACTGAAGTCTGCCAGCCAGTCCCCAGTTCCCATTAGTAAGTTTATGAGTTAGAGAGCTTCCATAGCATCAGCTGGCAGAACCCCTTACTGACTCTGATATGGAGAAGAATCCTGAACTGTGTGGATTGAATCTTAGTCTTGAATCCGCCCTGTGTAGCCTGCACACATCCCTTTTCCTCTCTGAACCCATGTTCCTCGTATGTATAATGGATATGTCGTTTGCCTCTCAGAATTCTTTCAAGAACTAATGAGGCGATGGATGTGAAAGTTTTTTGTGAGCTCTAACCCACTCTACAGTGAGATGAAGATGATGATATGTTTTGCCTGCTGCTTACCCCCGAATCCAGCCATCAAGTCTCTGTGACAGCACAAGGCCTAGCTTTAGCCATACTAGAGGGCAGGTTCTGCTGACATTGCCTCAGATTGTCAAACTGAGACAAACAGGTCCAGAACTCCAATAGCTCTCTAAACCAGTGGTTCTCAGGCTTTATTGTGCGGTAAGATCAGCTAGAGAACTTGTTAAAACTCAGATTTTTGGGCCCTACCCTCAGAGTTGCCAATTCAGGAGGTTTGGGATTGGACCCAATCATTTGCGTTTCTAACAAGTTCCCAGGTGATGCTGATGCTGCTGGTCTGGGAATCACACTTCGGGGAACCACTTCTTTAAACAGTTTACCCGCTTTCCTTCAACGGCAGGCACAAGGATGGCCTCCGTTGCCCTCTGCTGGCCAGACTATAAACTTAGCCGTCATGTTTCCAGAGCATCAGGAAAGTAAAAAGTATGGGTTGGAAGGAAATAAATACTTGTCTGAGAACCAGCAAAATAAGGCTAAAACCAGCAATCATAATTGTTTGTTGCTTCAGAGAACGAGGTGTGATCAAATAATACAGTGAATGTTTAAACTTAAAAAAATGTATTACAGTAAAAGACATTGCCATTAATCCCCCTCAAAATATTCCCCTTTGCTTCGAACACACTTATCCCATCGTTCTTGTCACTTTCTGAAGCAGTTCTGGAAGTCCTCCTGTGAGTTGCGCTGTCACAGCTGCCTCAATGTCCTCAATCGATTTAAAACATTACCTTTCATGGTCATTTTGACTTTGCGGAAGAGCCAGAAGACACCCAGTGCCAGATCCAGTGAATAAGGTGGATGAGGACACACAATGATGTTTTTATTTGACAGAAATTGCCGTACTGGAAGTGCTGTGTGATATGGAGCCTTTCTGTTGTGATCAAAACATGATAAATGCTGCTGCCGAGCGACATTCAACAGAAAGACAGGGATCTTCAATATGGGAAGCAGCGTGTCAAACCTTAGTAATAGTGTGTGACAAGTTTCAACTAATTCAGTGCAGTCAGTCGAATGTGTGCTATGGTTGAGAGAAGGTGCGTTTTAAAGTGTACCGTTGGGGGCCGGCCTAGTGGCTCAGTTGGTTAAGAGCTAACTTAAAATGTACTGTATGTGAGCTGCCAAGAGCCGCCGTGAGTGGCCATCCAGAGGCTAGCTACCAATCTGCCTCACCCGGGAAGAGTGCAATGATAATACCAACGTGGGCCAGTGAAGCGACGTCCTCCACAACTAGACTGAAGAACAAAAAGGACAGCAACTTGTCTGTTCCCCTTCCCCCATTTCCCCAGCGCTGTTCCTATCCCCCAATGCCCCAATAAAATCTTTAAAAAAAAAAAAAAGTAGGATTTATTCACAATCCAAGCGGGAAAAGTGAAGGTTTGTCCTCATGAAGGCCAAAGACAAATGGAGTGCGGAACAGGAGGATAAACAGATGATTCTACCAGCCTGGGAAAACCTGCAAGGCCAAGTAGCTGGATCTTTTCTCCAGCTATGCTAGGTGGGCTGGCCCTTAATCCAGGGTGCCCCACATCCCAATTTTCTATTTCAGTAGTCAGGCCTGAATGTCCATAGAATCACCCAGGAAGCTTGTTACAAGTGAAGGTCCTGGGTCCCACTTCCATGGTTCTGCTTCAGTAGGTCTAGGTCAGGACCTAGGGATCTGTATTTTAAGACATACCTCCTCCAACAGGAACTTTGGAAACTCCTGTTCTCACAAAATGCTCTCTTGACACACCACCATCAGCAAAGGTATATTACTTGCCTGGCATGGTATTCCTTTCCGGCCCCTCTCTAGGTTTGTCTGCTTCCCTCACACATAATATCCCACTGGATTATGATAGCTAAGATGCAATTCCCAACTCCTTTATTTACCCTCTCCAACCCTCAGTTTTCTCATGTATAAAATGAGGTGAAACCTACCTCACTCTGCTGGAGTTAGGATTAAATGAAAAGGTATGTCTTATACATACATAATTCCTGACATTCAAGAAGTGTCCGATAAACATGAGTTCATATTTCCTAGCTCCTCAGAAAGTAGTAGTGATTAAGCTGGCATCTTTTGAATTCCCACAGGTTTTAAAGCAAGGGTCCTGAGGAGGACCAGGTGATAATCAAGGTGATGTCTTCCCCCAGACTCATTCCCCTGTGGAAAGATTTAAAATATCTCATAAGTGACATTCAAGGAAGCAAGGTAATGTATGTGTAGAACAAAAACCTGTTATTGGCCTCTATCTATCCTAATAGTTATAAGCACTTCAGAGGAGCTTAGATTTTTTCCCATGGAAGCAGGAAACAGGCAGCAGAGACCTTAAAGACAGTTGTCACCTTAGGAGGAAGTGGGCCATCAATTTCCAAATGAGTCTGGGGACCTCTTGCAAGGACATTTTGATAGTGGAAGGTGAACACTTTGGAGCATTGTCAGAGGAACCAACCACCTGGGAAGAGAGGTTTTTCTAAAAGAGAACGGAGAAGGCACCAGAGAGAACATTTGCCAACCTCAGCGTTGCTATGGCTGGCTCTGTGCACAAGGATCCCAGGTGCATGTTGCATAGCACCTGCTCAGTCACTGGGGGATATTATAGAATATATATATATATATATATATATCATCTTCCTCTGTCAAACTTAAAGGCCAGGTAGGGTGTCCTAGGAGTCTTAGTGCAGTTGTAAACTTTAGTAACTTAATGCTGCACTGACTTCGGGGATACCCTGTTATATTACATGTAGATCTATGGCAGTGCACTTGCCTGAGTAATCTGTTAAATGTGTCTTTTATGACATATGTACCTTTTAGACAGAAGGGAGAATGTTAGAGGACAGGTATACCTCACTTCATGTTAGGAAGAACATCAGTTTCCATTGTGCTCACGCTATAAAATTTGCCCATAGAGGCCCTGTAGGGGTTTGTTCTCTCTTGTGCCGGGGGTTTTGTTACATGCTTGTGAAGTGTAGGTGTCCCATGGGTGATCCGTTATGCATGTGTGGGTGTATCAAGAGTGGTCCTTGGGGTTGTGGGATGACTTTGGGAACTGCTTCAATTGTGACTTGAGTGAGAATACATTTAGTGCATGTGTGTGTGTGTCCTGGTCTCTTAGTTGATGCCATGCCTCTCCCCAGCAAACTTCAGGTGACTCAAAGAGTGACATAGTTGTGCTGAGTGACCATTCCCAGATACTGTTCCAAGAGTCTCGCCATCCTCAAAATATGCCACTTATATGCTACTACTTCAGTGATGCCAACTTCTTTGCCTCCCTCTCATGGGTGACAACAAGCACAAAAGAAATACAGGTAAAACAGCCTAGTCTTTCATTTTCTTAGCCCTTTATCCAGAGGCCATGCCCATATAAGCTTCCACTCCAGATTGACAAAGGAAGATATACCCCTTGAATGAAAGTGACCTAGATCCAGGATTCTCCCATCATCCTTTCTCCAATTACAGTATCCATGTTGAATAGATTTTATAGTTCTCCTAAAGTAGGCCAAAGTTAGTGAAAGAGTTATAGGCTTCCTGCTTCTACAGTATTTCCAACTACTATAATCAGGGGATAAAATCATTCTAGAATCTTTCAGTTCCTCCTCAGCACAAGAACACAGGAAAATAGCTGAAAATTCTGCCCTTTCCTTTTCTATTACCTGATCCAGGCACTTTCCATCTCATTCTCTTCTAGGCTATAGTATGGATGAAGAGCAAAACTGAAGACATGGTCGAGAAGAAAACATTCTCCATGACCGAACGATTGCCACACATCCAGTGTATGGTCCACACTGGTTCCTTTCATGTCCTGGTGGCCTACTGTGGTGACCTGCTCCTGCGGCTCTTTGGGGACCACTTTCGGTCATTCAAATCCCTGGGTATAGTGCCCTGCCGCTTTAACATCAACTGCCTCTGCTATGACCCAGAAATGAAGATGCTTCTGTCAGGCATCCTGGGGGCAGTGGTCACCTGGACCATTGAGCGCAGTGGCAAGGGCCTCCAAATAGCCCACATGATTTCCATGCCTGGTGATGAGTTAGTCCAGGACATCATGTTGAATGGCCCCAATGGCTCCCTCCTAGCCCTGTGTGAGACTGTGGTGAGGGTCCTGGAGTACCAGGGCCAGGGTCAGCTGGGAGAGGTGAAGAGGTTCACTTCTACCACCAGTGGCTCCTCTATCACCTGCTGCTTCACCTGTTTTGCTCAGGGCTTTCTCTATGCTGGAAACAAGACCGGGGACATCGAAGTATGGAGCCTCAGTCGGAGCCACTCTCCCCACAGTTTTAAGGCCCATTCCTCGTCAGTGGTATGCATCCGCAGCCGACCAGAAGCCCACACCCTGCTAACAGCTGGCAAGGAAGGCTTCATCAAGGAGTGGAACCTTACTTCGGGTAACCTTCTGCGGCAGCTAGAACTTGATGAGGAACTGCATCGACTCCAGTTCATTGATAACATTACTTTTTTCTGCCAAACTACCCACTCTTTCTCCTTGCGCCGTCTGCCCTGCTTCTACAGCCTCTTCAACGTCTGTGGCTCCGCTCCGGAGCATGTGCGTCGGGTCCGCTGTGGTAATAACTGGTTCCGGATCCTGTGCACTACTGAGGATGGCTTGCTGCGCTTTGTGTCCCCAATAACAGGGGACCTTCTGGTTCTCACCTGGCCCTTCGCAATCCTGGACCATGCTGTGGATTGGGACTATGACCCAGACAAAGAGGAGCTCTTTGTAGCAACAGGTGGCTCAGAGGTGCTGGTATTTGACACAACCCGCTGCCCTTGCCCAGCCAAGTATCTTTTATGTACCTCACCAGATTATCAGGACGTGGTACAATGCCTGGCTTATGGGCATTTCCACCTGGGTCACGGTCTAGAAGGACTAATGTTCTCTGGACACAAGAGCGGTATGATAAGAGTGCTTTCCCAGCACAGCTGTGCCCGAATCGAGAAATTTGTGCACTTTGGGGCTGTGTTGGCACTCTGTACGCTGCCCGTAGGGCTTTTAGGTGTCCGAGGGAACTCTTTGCTGTGTTCCTATGGAATGGATGACTATGTACACCTATCAGAAGCTGTGTTTGAAGGGATCAGAGTACACCTGCGTCCCCTTGCCAGCATTCTCAGCAGCTGTCACCTAAAACACCTAGTACTCTTGCCAAAGTCTGTGGGTGCCATCACAGAGGCTAACTGCCTGCGTCTCTGGAAGTTCCATGATATCCTGTCCTCTGAGACACAGAAAGGCTCAACGTTCATAGAGACACTGCCCCTGCACCAGTGTGCCATCACATCCTTTGATGTATGCCTGTCCTTGAGTCTTTTTGTCACAGGTGGTATTGATGGCTCTGTCCGAATCTGGAACTTCCATGGTAGACTCGTAGCCACACTAGACTCATCACTGCACTTTGGCCCAGTCTGCTTTGCAAATGACCGGGGTGACCTGCTTCTGACTTTCAACCAAAGTCTTTATCTGGTATCCTGTTTAAAACTGCTTCCCCCAACCCTGCTGTCTCGCCTTTCCTTTATGAGCATGGCAGATGAAGTGCTAGAAAATCCTAAGCCTTTCCTACCAAGCTTCTTCTTCTCCTTTGAGACCATGTTTGTGCCCAAGTATGTCTACCTTGGACAAGGGCAACAAGAATTAGCAGGTCTGGAGAAACTTGTCAATATACGGGCCATTGCCTTTGACCATACTGTGCCACATGTCATAGAAGAAGATGAGCAAGGGAGCCTTGTATTACTAGGTGCCCCAAGACATGGTTCCTTGGAATATAAGGAGGAAACAGATACAAATATGCAGGTCAGTAAACCTTATTCCCATTACATGGTTCCTCCCCAACTACAGCTGACTACCTGGGATGGACTCAACCCCTATCAGATACTGCGATACTACTTTGGTTGTGGGCGGAAATGGCTCTTAGCCCCTGACTGCTACATCCCCAACTCAGTGATTCGTGCCCATCTTTGGCCAGAAGGCAGCCCGATATACCTACAGTGCAACCTGCATTCACCCATGCGGGAATTGGAATGGGACAGGTCTGAACAATTCTTTTTCTGGCACAGTAAGGTAAGACCTATACATGAGGTAAAAGAATATTCACAGAAAATGGAAGATAAAGAGTTCATGGAAATGAGAATGTCCAAGGATATAACCTATAGTGTCTTTACAGACTCAACAAACCACAGCTGGCTAGGAAGAAAGATGAGCGAAATAGCTATTAATAGCCTGATTGAGACAATCCTCAACATTATGATCCATGCTCCTTTACTGAAGTACCAATGCTGTATTGGTGTGCTAGGGCAAATCTTTGCTTCTTACCAAGTGTCTCCGCCCATGCGCTCTGAAACAGCCCATCGTCTGCTGGATGATACAACCAATTCAAGTCCACTGATCCGAGAGCTAGCCTGGGAAGGGCTGAAGCGTCTAGGAATGATCACTCATCTTTTTGCCATCCCTCTGTCCCAAGGGTTAATGGACAAGGATGAAAGAGTGAGGAATAGGGCCCTGAGCCTCATGGTTGACACTGGAATCCACTCTAAGGCCTCACTCTTACACTTGATCCAGAACCGGGACACTTTCCGAGACATGCAGTAAGTTCTTTGTGCCTTCCTCAATTTTTTGCTAGCTTCTAATTTTCTTCTCCCCCTTCCCCATTTTCTCTTTCACTCTCTCTTCATCCCTGTTCATTGGCTCTTTCTGTCCTTTTTCCTTGTTCAGTCTTTTTCTATTCCTAGACCATCACTCCTTTCTCCGTTTCTTCTCCTATTCCTGTCTGTCCCCTACCTCTTCAAGTTCCCTCTTTCATCTTTTTCTCCTACGCCTCCATACAGATCACTCCATTCATTGCCATCTTATCTTGCCAGACTTTTCTTTCTTCTTGGCCATCCTTTATATACTCTGTCTCTATTGGCCACTTTGTGAAGCCCTCGGCCTGTTCCACAGCAGTTCTTTCCTTCTCATTCTCCCTAATTCAGCATGCTCTTTCTTCTCTTTTGACTTTCACAGGCAGGAAATGATTGGGGAGGAAACCCTGGATCATCTACTGGGGATGCGTGCCACAGATCTCCAAATCCTTCATACTCAAGTGCAGCAGCGATTGAATGAAAACCTGACCTTGTCACTTGGAGATAAAAAGCCTGCTTTCTCTTTGGATGTCTCAAGGGTTTCTAAAATTATGCCCATTTCCAAGCAATCTGATATAATTCTTAAAGAGCCTGAAGTTGCCATCAAGCCCAGCAAAGGCCTAAGACACAGGCGAGCCAGGGGCAAAAAGCATAGTATGTATGGGGTGATCCAGTTCATGTCTCAGGGTCCCCAAGAGGCAGGGTAGTTAGGGCTAAAATGGGTCAAGAGATATCAGGTAGAAGTAGAGTTAAGTGGAATGACCTTTTCGCAGAAAAGAACCTTCCTAGGAAGAATCCATCCAAACTTAGGAAGACTCCAAAGCCTATCTCTCTAGGATTTAGGGTGGGGGCACTGGGAATAAAGCAAAGAGAATGTTTCTTTCTTTTCTTTTTTTAAAGGCCTCAGCCCCCTATTTTGCTGTTTCTTTTATGGCAGTTCCTCTTAGGTCATACCAGATATTGGGAAGTGTTTCTTTTAAATCTCCCATGTTTTCCTTATCTCCTGATTTTCCCTGCAGCCCGAAAATTGTTGCGTGTCCTCAAGAAGGTGAAAGAGCCACGTCCCTTAGAGGGTGAAACTGATCAGACTGAAGCTGTACCAACTGAAGATACAGCCATCTATTCTAGGTCTTCAACTTCCAGTGTACTAAAGATTTCAAAAGATGATGAACAACAACCTCCAGAGAAAGATGTCCCAAAGGATGTTGCAGTGACCTTGAAACTGCTGAGGAAAATACATGACAAAAGAGGCAAGAAAACAACAGTTGAGAAACCCATAAAAAGGCACAAGAAGAAGAAGAGAAAAGAAGCTGAAGTTACAATTGAGGAACTTCTGCCTCCTCTAAAGGAAGAAGCCAGAGGGCGGGGTATCTCTGGCACTCCTGGCCGCAGGCCTACCCCTGGAGATGGCTTATCATGGCGGGATGATATATGTCGTCTTATGACCCTGAGGATATCTGGTTCCCAAACAGAAATGTCAGAAGCTCTAACCACTGATCTAGTGACCAGGGCTCAGAAGGTGCTGGAAGATAGACACCCCAGCTGGGAGCTCTTTCAGAAGATCTGCCCCCTACTGAAGAAAGAAAGTGGGGTTCTGTTTGAGGACCTTGACTGGATTGTAGCCTGGCCAGAGGAGAAACCAACTTTTATTCATAAAGATACAGGTAAAGAGGACATGGTTATCAGAGACATCAAAGAGATACCAGAGAGGCAAGAACAAGTGCAAACAGAAGCAAGGGATATGCAGGACTTACTGGAAACCCAAGTGATTCCCCAAAAAGGCAAGAAAAAGAAAGATATTTTTTTAGAACCTGGTGATCTAACCAAGGGGAAACGAATATTGAAGAAAGAAGAGAAATCCTCTAAGAAGACTTCTAAGCAAAAAAAGGAAATAAAAGTGGATAAAAAGGAGGGGGAAATGACCAAAAGAGAGAAGGATGTGAGTCAGGAAGTGGAGGAAATAGCCAAACTACAGGGGAAAGTGGTTAAGCAAGAACAAGGACCAATTATTGATGAGAAGAAGATGACTTCGAAGGATTGGAAGAAGTCCTGGGATCAGGGGGGAAAGGCACATAGTGAGACAAGGAAATCCTGGAATGAATGGAAGACAGGCTGGGAAAGGAAGCATCTTGAGGAAGAGGAGAAACCACAAGAGGACAAAGAGAAGCTATTCCCAGATGAGGAAAAGCTGGATGGGGACAAGAGAAAGCTGGGATGGGACGAGAGGGCACCAGTCTGGGGAAAGAAGTTGTCAGACAGCTCCAGGGAACAACTGTTAGAGGATGAAGAGGAACTGACTTTGGAGGAAGAAGAATTATCTCAGGAGTGGGGAGGAGGAGAAGGAGGAGGAAGAGCAGGAAACGAAGAAGGAGAAGGAGTAGAAGGAGGAGGAGAAGAAGAAGGAGGAGGAGTAGATGGAGGAGGAGGAGAAAAAGGTATAGAAGGAGTAGGAGGAGAAGAAAAAGGAGGAGGAGGAGGAGAAGGTTTAGAAGGAGAAGAAGCAGGAGGAGAAGAAGAACTAGAAGAAGAAGAACTAGAAGAAGAAAAACTAGAAGAAGAAGAAGAACTAGAAGAAGAAGAACTAGAAGAAGAAGAAGAACTAGAAGAAGAAGAAGAACTAGAAGAAGAAGAAGATCAGGAAGAAGGAGAAGAAGAATGGGAAGAAGAAGAAGAAGGAGGAGAAGAAGAAGGAGAAGAAGAAGGAGAAGAAGAAGGGGAAGAAGAAGGAAAAGAAGAAGAAGAGCTGGTGACAGAAGAGCAGAAACAGACCCAGAAAGAATATAAACAGGCCAGGTTTGAGAGGAAACGAACCCAAGCTGAGAGAAAACGAGCCCAAGAAGAGAGGAAGCTGGCACAAGAAGAAGAGAAGCTAGCACAAGAAGAAAGACAATTGGCCCAGGAAGAGAGGAAACTGGCCAGACAGTATGGGAAACTGGCTCAGAGAAATAGGAAAATGGTCCAGGCAATGAGGAAGTTTGTCCAGAAAGGGGGGAAACTGGCCAAAAGAGAGGAGGTGCTAAGCCAAGAAGCAGAGAAATTGGCCCAGAAAAGGAAGAAACTGGCCAAGATATTGGAGAAACTGGCAGAAAAAGAAGAGAAAATAGCAAAGAAAGGAGAAAAGCTGGCTGAGGTAAAAATGATTTTGGTCCAGAAAATGGAGAAAGTGGCCCAGAGGGAGCAAGATCTGGCATGGCAAGAAAAGGAACTAGCCCAGGAATTGGAGGAGCTGACATGGGAAGAGGAGGAACTGGCTCAGAAAGAAGAGGAACTGAATCAGGAAGAGGAGGAATTAGCTAAGGATGAAAAGGGATTGGCTCAGGAGGAGAAGTCACTGGCTGGGAAAGAGGAGAAACTGGCTAGGGAAGAGAAAAAACTGGTCCAGGAAGAAGAAATGCTGATCCAAGAAGAGAAGAAACTGGCCCAGGACAAAGAAAAACTGCCTGAGGAAGAGGAAATACTTGCCCAGAAAAGGGAGCAATTGATGAAGAATAAGGAAAAACTGGCCCAGGAAAGGGAAAAATTGGTCCAGAACAAGGCGGAACTTGCAAACATCAAGAAGACACTAGCCTGGAGGGGGAAGGCTCTGGCTCAGAAGGAGGAGAAGCTGGCTCAGAAGGTGAAATTGATTCAGAGAAAAGAGAACATCCACCAGCTCAAAGAAAACTTTGCCCAGCACAGAAAGAAATTAGTCCAAGTAAAGGAGAGACTGGACATGTACAAGAAGAAATTGGTTCAGGTAGAGGAGAAGCTGATCAAGGAAAAGGAAGAAGTTTTCCAGAAGAAGAAGAAGGAACTGGCTGACACAGAAGAAAAACTGGCCCAAGCTGAGGAAGAGCTGGGTGAGAAACAGCACAAGCTAGCCCAGAACAAAATGAAATTGGCTATGGAGATGATGGCAATATTTCAAGAACCGCAACTGCTCAGAGGAGAGGGGGATATTACTGAGGAAGAAAAGGAATTGGACATGAGGATGAAGAAACTGGCCCAGGAGAAAGTAAAACTGGCTGAGGGAAAGGAAACTCTCCTCAAGGGAGAGACTCAAGAAACCTCAACACAGAGGAAACTGAGTAAGGATGAACTAGAAGCAATTAAGAGGAAATTGTTACTAGAGGAGAAGATACTGGTATATGAAGATAGGATGTTGGCCACAAAACAAACAGAAATTGCAAAAGAAAAATTAGAATTTACTAGAGGACAGAGAGTATATGCCCAGGAAGAAAGGAAGCTAGCCAAAGTAATAAGGAAGTTAGATAAAAGAAACATTTCCAAACAACCATCAAAAGTGGGAAGCAGAACCTTAAGGATACTACAAAACCTTACCAAAAATGAAAGGCAACTAACCCAGGAAGAAATACAGATAACAAAGATAAAGAGGTCACTTGTTGTTAAGGAAAGAAGATTGAGCAAGGAACAAAATGAACTTGATGCCAAAGAATGGAATGTTTTTGAGGAACAATCAGAAATTACTAAAGATGAGGAGAAACTAGCTAAGAAGCAGAGAAATCTGGCCCAGGTAATGAGAAGAATGATAAAGAGAGAGGAAAAAATAACTGAGAAAGAAGGGAGATTGGCCAGGCAAGAGAGACAAGTCATAGAGAAAGGAAAGGAGGAAGAAGAGGTAATGCCATTCCTTAAACAAAAGTCAAGAAAGAGAATAAAGGGAGTTGATATGCCACAGGAAGAGTTTCCCAGTCAAAAGGATAAAGTGGAAAATGAAGAGAGCTTTTCTGGAAAAATGGAAAGCCTGTTTGATGAAGTAGAGAGGGATAGTTTGTCTGAGGAGGAGGGAGAAGAGGAGGAGAGGCAGGAGGAGGAGGTGAAAGAGAAAGAGGAGAAGATGGAGGATATAAAAGAGGTGGAAGAGAAGGAAAAGGAGGAGGAGGTGCAGGAGGAGGAGAAAGTGTTTGAGAAGTATGAAAGCCTGAGTGAGGAAGAGGTGAAAAATTTAAGGGAGAAAGAGGAGGAAGAGGAAAGAAGCTCATTGGAAGAAGAGGTAGATAAGGAAAAAGAGATCTCAAAAAGAGAAAAACTATTTAAGTTACTAAAAAAAAGAGAAAAGGACCCAAGAGGGAGAGAACCATTCCCTTTTATTAGAAAAAGCACCCCTAAGGTCAAAGACATTGATATAAGCCTGGAAGTTCAGAAAAGCCCTTCCAGTAAACTGATCTCAGTAGCTCTGGGGAGGAAAGAGACTACACCAATGCCAGTGTCCACAAAACCAATATCCTGGAAAGATAAGGCCACAGTGCTTGAGACACCCAGGATATTCCCAGAGACAAGATTTATGGATAAACAAGGAGAACTGTTGAAGAAATATAAGCCCATTCCTCTACAAGTTTTGGATACAGTTTTGGAGTCCCAAGAGCCAGACTTAAAGACCCCATACTTATCCCACATATTGAGGAAAACCACGGAAGCTCAGAAACTCCAAGGCAAACCACAAGGGCACAGGTGGCAGTGGCTTTTGAAGCATCATCCATCTCGGATGGGACAAGCTGTGCCCCAAATCCTGGCTGAGGAAACACATGTAGACGTAAGCCTCTCAGATGTAGAGTGGATCCACCATGTTCTAGAACAGATGGAGGCAGGAGAACAGCTTCCCAGGGACAGTTTCCACAGATTGTGCCAGCTTCTCAAAGACCTCACCTCAAAGGGAAACGTAGAGTGGCTGCATCTGGCTAAACTTGAAGCTATCGTGTACCATCACAGACAGGTGCTAGAATCACAAAGGATGCATATCTCAAAACCCAGTAAGGAGCCCATGAGTCCAAAATACCTGAAAGTGATCCCTCCTATAAAGAGAAAGGAAAAAGAAAGCTGCCTAAAACCTTTGGCTATCCCCACGCCAAAGTCTTCATTAGCTACCAAAAGGATTCCAAACCCAAAGGCTGTAAATTGGCATCTTCTAGTAGAGCCTTACAGGAGTGCATGGGCAGAGCAGATAGCCAGTGCCCTCAAGGAGATGAGACACTTTTATCCTGCCACAGGAGACATTTTCACAGGTGCCTGTACCACTGCGGAAAAACAAACCCTAGCACTGATGTTTCAAAAAGACTTCTGGGCTTTTAACGATAAGGGCAGGCCCCCAAAATTGCCCAAGTTGGAAAAGAAGGCACAGCCTAGCTCTATGACAAAGGAAGAGGTGCCTCGATGGGAGACATTTGTGGCACTGTACCATGTTTTGCGGATGTTGCGGGAGCAATATGCAGAAGACAGTGCTGCTTGGATGGAACAGTTCTACCTGCTTATGGACCTGTACCAACTTAAGTCCCCCAGAATCCAGAGAATGCTACAGGATCTGCTACTGACAGAGGAACCCCAACCCCATGGGATCATCTACAAAGAGCCCCTAAAGGCCATGGAGCTAGCTCCCGGGGAGCGGTTGTTCTACCACCTGTTTTGTGGTAGCTCTCACATCCCCAGAGGTCCTCTGAAGTTCCAGGAGGTGGTGCCCCTCCAAGGACAGAACAATGTGAATACCATGCTTTCCATGGGCATCGCTCATTATGGGATCTTAGAACTTGCCTGGAAGAGCCTGCCCCAAGCTGATAGTTACCTCACCGAGGCATTGCCCCATATTGTTGCTCCTACCCCCTAATTGGGTACTGACTGGAGGTCAGAACTTTTCATTCCCACCTGGAGAAAGGCCTTGTCACCAGTATCTAGACCTTTATTTCTAGGGCCCACACAGAGGTAGGGCCAGGCCAAAGCCCTTTCTTTACCCTGTTCCAGAAGCCAGCTTCTATAATGTGGAATAAACAGGAGGTTCTGATATCCAACAAACTCTGTGATGTGTCCCTTTTCCTGAAACATTGTTTCTCCAGAAAGGTAACCAAGGAGACCAGATACTCACATACTCCGAAGAGTGGGAAAACTTACTAAAGGTGAGTGGTGCTCACCCTCTGGAGGTCTTCAGACAGAAGAGTCTTTCTTTGTCCTCTTCCTTCCCTGTCTCCCACCATCCTCTCCTAAAGACTATAGGAAGGAAAGCACCTGGCATAAAAAACGAATGTGTATTTCACATTAATATAAGAGGCATTGATGTAGTAGACAGAAAATGGATTTTAGAATCAGAAAACTCAGCATTTTGTTCCTTAGATTTTAGGGGTACACATTGGAGGCAGACTCTATTTCCCTGATCATAGCTCTGCATGCTGATGACTTGAGTCCCAAACAGCAGGCGTGGTAGGTGTTGAGGAGACCCTCAAAGTAAAGGAAAAAGCTTCAACAAGTTCTAGCCAGTACCACCTGGTGACCTAATTACTGGCTGGCAGGAAGGGATAACACCATTTGAGGTTAAAGCAGAAAGAAAAGGAGGGAAACCTATATCTTCCATTTCCTTTGCCAATACCTGGACATGAGGGTTGGGGAGGGTGATAGAATTAAAATATGGAAGACTAAGTGAAAGCTCAAATGGGACCCCTGCTGTCTAGGGACTTATGACCCTTCCCTCTAGCAAGTAAGGAGACAAGTGTTAAAAGGAAAGGGGTAATAAAGTGGAAAGAAGTTGTCACTGCCAGTAATCCTTCCCTGATCTCCTCTTCCCACCATGGAGATTTTAAAACTGCCTCTTTCTAGGTAAGCTGTCTTCCAAGAGTTTCTAGCAAGTAGCCTACCTGTGCCATTTGCTACCCCCATCCCACCTCTCCTTTGTTATTCTACTTCTACCTGAGTTTGCTTTTGTGGGGGACCCAGGGATAGAAGGAAAGAGAACATTCTGAGGAATTGGATTCATCTTGGAGGCCAAGGGCAATGACAGCTCTGGGTATATAGTTGGGCCTACATATTAGGTGACGTGGAGTATGTGAGAGCTGTAGGCTGGGTACAGGGAGCCTCAAAAAGGGCGATTGACCTACAGCTGGCCAAGGCAGCAGACGTAATGATGAGCCAGCTTGCTCTGCAGCCTCAACCTGAATTATGTCTCCTTTTGGCCTCTGTTTACTTGCCTGTGTCAAAAAGAGGATAGTACACAAATTACAAATATCAGGCATGAAAGAGGGGACATTACTACAGATCCTACAGGCATTAAAAGGATGAAAACTATAATGAACAACTCTTTGCCCATAAATTTGACAACATAGATGAGGTAGAAAAATTCCTTGAAAGTCCAAGAAAGGTAAAAACAGCAATACCTATCTACTTAATATCAGTAGGACCTGTAGTAAATAAACAAACAAAAAATTTGAAAGCCCAACAGTGACAAAAAACAGTCTGTTGTGGTCCCAAAATCAGGAAGTCCATGGATGGCTCTTCAGTGAGCCTGAAGACCTGAGAACTGGCTGTGACAACCTAGAGATCCTTGTCTTTGAAGAAATGGCAGAGAGCAGCACTTGTTTGTATTTTCTCTTCATTAGGAAAATTTTCAATCACAAAAGTTGAAGAGAGTATTGCAATGAATCCCCAGATCCTGTCACCTCGATTAATTGTAAACATCTTGCAAAAATTGCTTCATTTTTCCTTTGTTGAAATATTTAAAAATAAATCCCAGACATATTTCAACCCTAAATACTTTAATACTGTAAAAGCTAAAATTTTCTGACATAACGACTTTCCATCTAACAAAATAATTCCTAAATGTCATCCAATACTCTGCAAATTTTCCTGATCGTCCCTCAAAATGTCCTTTTATAGTTTGTTGGAATCAGAATTCAAACAAGGTCTACACCTTATTTGATTGTTAAGCTTCCTGAGACTCTTTTAATATTAAACATTTACACTCCCCTCTCCCAGTTTTTTTCACACCATTGCTTTGTTGAAGGCTGATTCAGTTATCCTGTAGATTTCTCCATGTTTTTTATTTTTCTGACAGTTTTGCATCCTGAGGTCTGGATGTGATTCGAGGGTACATGAAGCTTCTGAAATTGAATTGTGCTAGGTACTTCCCCTAACCCTACACCTCCCCACCCAAGCAAAAGTCTGTAACTTTCATCAAATTCTTGAGGAAGTCCTTGACACGAACATGTTAAGTCAACATTAGGGACAGAGCACAGAGACACCTGGGTTTTTAGCTCAGACATTGCCAATAGATGAATGATCTTCAGCCAGTAACTTGCCTTCACTGGGCCCTAGACTTCTAATTTTTGAAGGGTTAGTTATACTTCAGACCTATCGAGGATACTAGAAAGGGTTTCCAGCCCCCTAACCTTCTCTCAGAATGTGTGCTCAGGATAGTGTGAGAGAGTTTCCCTATTGTGTACAGCTACCAAATGATCTGTACCAGGAAATAGATAACAGGGAGTTGACCTTGGGTAAGACCTCAAAGAGAGGAGGATCTTACATCTTCTGCAAGACTATTACATACTCAAACTAAGGTGAGTGAATAAAGACATAAGATTGAGACTTGGAAATGACCCTGACAGCACACACAAACTCCTAAATGGCTTGGCGCTGTGAACTGAGCCCGGGAGGCGCTCCAACGTTTTGGAGAGGGAGACATACAGGGGAACTGTCAAGAAGATTGAGAAGGAACAGCCAGGAAGGTAAGAGAAGAACCATAAAAGAGTGCTGTCCAGAATTCAAGCGAACACATTTTAAGATGGGTGAAGTGATAAACTGTGTCAAATACTGTTGATGGGTCAAGTAAGAGAAAGAAGAGAAATTGACCATTTAAGATGGCAAACTGGATGTAATTTGTAACATTGACAAATGCATTTCTGTGGAGTTGTGGGCTAGACAACTTGATTACAATGGGTTTAAGAGAGAATGGAAGAAAAGGAATGGACTCATTGGAGTTTTTTGTTTTGTTTTTTTAGCTGAGCCATCCTGCTACCTGTTGGCAGCTCAGTGGCTGCTCAGCTTGGGCCAGGACTCGAACCGCTGTTGCTCAGAGCTCAAACTCTTGAGCGAGCTCTTAACCAACTGAGCCATTCGGCCGGCCCTCATTGGGGATTTTGTTTTTGTTTTTTACTTTTCATTTGGAAATAATCTCAAATGTACAAAAAAATTGCAAAAATAAAATAATTCAATAACCCTGTATATCCTTATTCAGATTTAACTATTGTTAACATTTTAACACATTTGCTTCATTATTCTATGATCACATAGCATAAACTAATAATATATTTTAAGCAAAGTGAAACTTAAGGCAAATAGCAACTGTCAGCAAGTCCATGATGGAAAAGGCATGCAACTTCCAGTTGAGAGCTTGGTTAATTTCAGGGATCTAAAACTGGATAAGATGGTCAATACGTGCATATTATCATAATAAAAAGTTGGAAAAAGGGTTGGCCGAGTGGCACGTTGGTTAAGAGCTGGCTTGGGACGCCAGAGGGCCCCGGTTCGGATCCCACATATAAGGGACAGTGACACTGTCACTGCCCTCTACAGCTAAGATGCTGAACAACAGCTCAACCTGGAGCTGGGCTGCTGTGAGACCCTGGCCAACAGCGTAGGCTGCATCCTCTGCTGCAGTGGGTTGCCATGGGCTACCGTGTGTAGCCAGCAGCCACCGTGAGTGGCTGTCCAGAAGCCAGCGACTGATCCGCCTCGCTGGAAGAGCGCAATTATGGTGCCAACTTGGGCCAGTGAAACAATGTCTTCCACAACTAGACTGAAGAACAAAAAGGACAGCAACTTGTCTGTTCCCCTTCCCAATTCTTTTTTTTTTTAAGATTTTTATTGGGGAATTGGGGGGATGGGAACAGTGCTGGGGAACTGGGGGAAGGGGAACATACAAGTTGCTGTCATT